GGTACAAAGGAAGAAGAAGGCAGAGCCTAATCAATTCCTTTGATCCACCGCAGGGCACTACACGACAAGGAAGTGAGAACCAATGGAGGCCTAACACGTCTGCAGTTCTTCCTAGTGGCATTTGTATCAAGTTTCGCATACTACATCGTCACAGGCTATTTAGCCCCCTCATTTTCCTCAATCTCCATCCTCTGCTTGATTTTCAAGAAAACGATATTCCCAAAGCAACTCGGGTCAGGCTTGCACGGCTTGGGAATTGGCTCTTTTGACCTCGACTGGTCCACAGCCAACTTCATTGGCAACCCCATTTCGACTCCAGGCTTTGCAATAATTAACACAATTATTGGCTTCTTCCTCGTCATGTATGTTATGACCCCATTGGTTTACTTCAACAATGTGTACCATGCCAAGAGGTTCCCCATCTTCTCGAGCCATACGTTTGATGTCACTGGTCAGACGTACAATATATCGCGTGTACTCAATGATGCTACCTTTGATCTCAACTTAGCCGGGTATCATGGTTACAGCAAGTTGTACCTCAGCAGCTTCTTTGCTTTCACCTACGGCATGGGATTTGCTTCACTGACCGCCACCATTAGTTATGTTGTTCTTAATCATGGGAAGTAAGTGGATTTTTAACTTTTGTCTTGCTAAGTACTGAATGATAATAATACTAAAACATTGGTTGGTTTAAAAAAAAATTGTGTGCAGAACTATATGGGCTATGTGGAGGAAGACGACGGAAGTTAAGCACGGGAAACTAGATGTGCACGGGAGATTAATGAAGACCAACTATGAGACGGTACCAAACTGGTGGTTTTACTCTGTTCTTGTGGTTGTCTTTTGCCTCTCTTTGTGGACCTGTGAAGGTTTCGGCAAACAGCTCCAACTTCCCTAGTGGGGGCTTATCCTGGCTTGTGCTATGGCTCTTTTCTTCACACTACCAATCGGCATAATTCAGGCCACCGCAAATCAGGTTATATATGTACAGTTGTACACCCGTAATGTAGGACAATGAGTATTTAATTTATATAGGCCACTTAGCTCGAAATTTTTATGAAAATCAATACCTTTTGCAGCAAATCGGGCTAAACATCATAACCGAGATGGTTATCGGTTTCATTCACCCAGGGAAGCCCCTTGCGAATGTTACGTTCAAAACATACGGTTACATAAGCATGTCACAAGCACTCCGTTCGTGAGCGATCTCAAATTGCATCGACCGTGTGCTTCAGCACATCCTGGTGGCTACTCTCGTCCGTCGACTACATTTGCAACCCAGCCCGGTTGCCTAAAGGGAGCCAGTGGACTTGCCCGGGTGGCGAGGTCTTCTACAACGCGTCCATCATATGTGCGGATGTTTGCAGGCCAAGGGGTGTACGGAGCCATGAACTGGTGGTTTCTGGTGGGCCTTGTGGCCCCTGTCCCAGTCTACCTGCTCGGGCGCAAGTATCCTCACAAGAAGTGGATAAGTCTCGTCAACGTATGAGCGCCACCGCCGGCAAGGGCCGTCAACTTCATCATGTGGGGGGCGGCGGGCATCTTCTTCAACATCTACTTGTATAGGGCCCACAAGAGGTAGTGGGCCCGCCACGCGTACATCCTGTCTGCGGCCCTCAATGCTGGGATAGCCTTCATGGCGGTGCTTCTGTTCTTCTTACTGCAGAATAAGAAGGTTGCGGGGCCCCACTGGTGGGGGCTGGAAGCGGACGATCACTGCCCGACCGAACCAGGGGTGGTGGCCTAGGGCTGCCCACCGGCCATCCTGCAGTGAGGGGAGGGGACATTTGAATATTATTAACTGCAGTAACTCGTGATTGTTTCTTTAGTCAATAATGGATAAATGGTAGTTGATTGGGTAAATTAATTTGTTTGCTATGCCGTTGTGTGTGTACATTGACGTATGCTTTTCCCTTGGTCTCATTTTATTTTATCAGTTTCTGGTGGCTTTGGATAGTGTACATGATCCTTGCCAAAATAAAGTACATGTCGTCGTTAATATTGTTTCTGGAAGGGTTTCATTTGTGATAATATTTCCCCCCTAAACGATAGCCCATCAGCACGTTGTTACTCCCTGGGTAAGGCTACAATCCCGTTACGGAACCATTCCGTTGGGATTTGTAATCATTAGATCAAACATCAGGTTACTTGATGATCTAACGGTTACAATCCCAACGGAATGGTTCCGTATGATCTAACGGTTACAATCCCAACGGAATGGTTCCGTAATGGTATTGTAGCATTTTTCAGTATTTTAAAAGGAAAGATAAATGTTGATCAAGTCTCATTCAACACTAAACGCCAGAACCCAAATTTAATATACAAATTAGTTGTGCTACAATACTCATTAATTAATATTAACTAGTATAGTATTATATCCGGTGTACATGCACAAATGCAAATAAAATTTTATACGTTATATACATATGTGTGTTTTAAGTAAAATTTGGAAATCATAATTTAGATCATGAGCATATCACATTTATAAATTTATCATTACTAAAATGACGATATAAATATAAACTATTCTTACATATTAATCCTTAAATTTATGCAATCTTGATTGATTATGACAATTAATTGGATAAAAGATATTGAAATTATTGTTATATCAATTTGTGTGCAAAACTTAAAGGGTTTTGGTTATGCCATAAAAGATAATTAACTAGTTTTAATTAAAAAACTTGCTTAATAGGTAAAAAATAATAATTTTAAATATATAGTCTTAAAAAAGCTTTAGATTAGAATAACATTTAATATGTCTTCACTATTAGTTAATAGTAGAAATTATAAAATAAAATGAATAGAAAATATAATTTTGATTAATGCAAAAGTAACGGAAAAAGTGAGAAAACAAAAAGAGTTTTATTAATTGTTTTGATAGCAATTATATGTATATAGATACTAATAAAATGTATTTGTGATGCACATAATACATAATTTATATTTTTTTATGATTTTAAATTATGTTTTTTCTTTATATGTTTTATTTATTTATTTATTTTGCATTATTATTTTTAATTATAAAACAAAACAAATACATTAAATAATGAATGAGGTCGCCTCCAGGGCATGTAGTCCATTGGCTTCGTGAGAAGGTGAAACTATTTGTGAAAGCGAAGGTCAGGAAATCGAACTTGACTATCGTCGGGAGTGGGGATGGGGCACCTCACTCCTCCTGGAGGATTAGTCTCACACCTCTGGATGTGGTCCGTGTGGATCGAACCTGACTATCGTGGGGAGTGGGGATGAGGCACCTCACTCCTCCTGGAGGATTAGTCTCACACCTCTGAATGTGGTCCGTGTGGATCCCTTAGGCCATTAGGCCCGTATCCGTGGGGAGCCTGGCAGTTCGTGGTGAAGTCTCAGAGTAAACGTGGGGATACCTCCAAAAAAAAAATAGAGAAAGAGAAAGAAAGAAAAAAAATGAATGAAGTCAAATATATCAAAATTTAAAACATAGTTTTCATATAATTTTAATAATTAAATAAAAAAGAGTACATGAAAAAAATGTGTATAAAGACTTTCATTTTATAAATCAATATTGTTTGTTTGAAATTGCTTTTTAGTTTAGACTAAGATGCAAATACGCTCAATAAATGACAATATTGCTAAAAATCTTTTGTGATTGCAGAAAATATCTACTGCTAATAAAATCGAGTATAATATGCCTGAAAATGAAAATTTTGGCCAAAACTTTTCTTCAATGATCGTGTTATGATTTTTACTATTGTTTATGTTTTTTATTATTTTTCTCCTATTATAAAGATTTTCGTGCAAATACATGAATTAAAACTAGTTATAATTATTAATTAATATTGTTTACCTGTTCATAGCAATTCAAACTTATTGGACTTGATTGTAGATTTTTCAACTTATCAATTTTAAGTTACATTAGTTGTAATAATTATAAAGTGATTGTAGTAATGGTATTGAGGATGTTATATAATCTAAATTGAAAGAAATAATCATAATATATACTCTTTAGAATTCGAACTTATCTATATATCTATTAAATCATAATATATACTCACAATATTTTGAAAAATTATTAATCATTATATGCATACAAATAACTCACAATATTTTATTTATATCTGTACAAATACCCAGGTCGAATACTGTTGGACTTGATTGTAGATTTTTCAAATTATCAATTTTAAATTACATTAATTGTAATAATTATAAATTGATTGTAGTAATGATATTGAGAAAGTTATATAACCTAAACTAAAATAAATAATCATAATATGGGTTTCGTGGGGCTAGAGTATGGCGCCCAAACCCTTCCAACTTTAGTTTATTTAGGAAAAAGAGATTCCATGTTATCAATCACTTGATGACAAGGTGAATCTTGAAGAAGAACACAATCGATCAATGTCTTTGACCATCATAAGACTGATAATATGACCCACATTTCAGACCACATTCGTATTTTTTCCCATCCCAGAATTTGATTCAATGTGATATAACGCAGATGTTTCACCATATCTGGACTCCGGAGGATGTTGTCAAATCATCCACGCTACACATTCAGAAGTCCGAAAATAAATAAATATATACTCCTCTGCCAACCTATCCGGAGTACATCCATCGAAGATGACCGGAATCAACACCGACGGCCGCGAGTCACTGGAGAACAAGCCCCCTCACGCCAGTGTTGAAATTGATGGTAATCAATTATTATTGGTATTCTTATTAATTATTTCTTTTTCTTTCTTTTTGTTAATTCGTAACCGACCAACTCGTGACGTGTGTACCATATACATTTAAAAAAAAAAAAGATGATAAAGGCGGTGCGGTTGACGAGAACGACTGCCCGATCGAGCAGGTGCGGCTGACGGTCTCGGCGGATGACGACCCGTCCCTGCCGGCGCTGACTTTCCGGACGTGGGTCATTGGGCTCTCGGCGTGCGTGATTCTGGCCTTCATCAATCAGTTCTTCGGCTACAGGCAAAACAGCCTCTACATATCGCCCGTCGTGATGCAGATCTTGAGCCTCCCAATTGGGCGGTTCATGGCAAGGGTGCTGCCCGAAGCCGAGATAACAGTCCCGTTCACTCGGGGTTGGTCCTTTTCCCTAAACCCGGGGCCCTTCAACCTCAAGGAGCACGTGCTCATCAGTATTTTCGCAGGGTGCGGGTCCTCGGGTGTTTACGCCATATCCATTGTGACAATTGTGAGGGCTTTTTATCACCGTCAGCTGCATCCCGTGGCCGCTTGGTTGTTGGCTCAAACAACGCAGGTTATTATTTTATATCTCAATTCAGTTATAATTTACAATATATATCATAGTACTTTTGTTTATTTTTTATTCATTTTTTATTCGAGTATAATGTA